AATAATATATGTCAATCAGGCTAGGTTCGGCCATGGAGCACGGTCGTGCAGTGCCGCCCAAAATTGCTTAATGTTCTATTACGTAAAAACACCCACAATAATGAAATAAAAGAAGCCAGGAACAAACACTAGCCAAATATTATATCAAAACAAGGTCCTCACTGGCGCCATAACTGTCATTTCTGTGTCTATAGCGCTGTAAAACATCTACAATTCCTTGCCAAAGTATATGTGCTTTAGCTAAACATAATAGGATATTCAACAGTGTAAACTGACCTATAAATCGCTCTTGGGGATAACCTAAGCGATGACGACACTCGTAGCGAGTTTGGCGATACATAGATATGAATAAGATGGCACATCTCAAATGTGCTCCTGACGAATAGTGCCGAAACATAGCCCACAGTAGGCAGTCTAAAAATAAACGCGATAGACCGTACGCTATTATTTGCCAATTTTATTTGACCCCCCGAGCAATCCAGCGGAGTGCTCAAGTGAATTGTGATTGGTTCATTGTCTGTCTTGCCACTATTTTAAGGGACTCTGCGATCGTGAACCTGAGGGAGGTGAACGTGACCGTCCTGTGGGTTTTGCCTTTGAAAGGTTTTGTAGTGGAGTAGTGAAAGTTTTTACTTGAGTGTTCAGTCCCAATACAGAGTGAATAAAATTGATGTTTAATTTACAAACAAATTTAGCACTAGAAATCAAAACGACAATTAAAAAGAATGAAAATAAAAGCCCGAGGTCCTCCCTCACCAACCCAAAGATCGTAAAATTATACACCGTCTCATTTACTATGCCCTTGACTATTTTTAGCATGCGATAGCTTAATTGTGCACGTCCACATTTTAGCCCCACGAGCCGCCCGTGATATAAATATAAATATATACATATATATAATAATAATAATATTATATATAAATATATAAATACATATGTAAAGAGAGCGCGAGAGAGACAAACACAGAGAGACAGACAGACAGAGATAGAGTGGCAGAAAGACAGACAAACAGACGGACACAGATACACAGATTGACAGGCAAAGATTGCAGACGGGGAGAGATTCAAGCGAAGGGCATGTTCGATCATCGATCGATATTCAGTTCAATGAGCCAAGATTTATACACCCTTTAAAAAACTGCTTCGAAAGCCACGGATTGAATTTCCTAGTGGGGATTTTATACCAACACTGACACATCCTGGTTCTGGGTTCTAGTCAACCGATTGGTTGATTCTGCTAGCTATGCAGCCAATCAAATCTTCGCTGCGATCAGTGATTTGTTCTATTGATATTGATATCAAGAGCATTTTAAAAGTGTTCATAATTTTTACCTTCATACATTTTAAAAAAGTGTTCTTCCTATTGAATTCATTAATAGGGCATTCACCAGATTTCTGTTCAATTACCTTTTGTTGAAACGCCTGAAATTCTAGATCAAATCGGCCCTAGACAGACCCCGTTTAAGAAATGGGAATTAGATGTAGTAAAAGTTTTAAAGCATTTGCAGTACAAATAGGTCATAAGAGGGCGCAGCTGAAGATTTATAGGGGTGTTGGTATAGAAAAACCTGCGCAGGAAGGAAGGAGGATAGGTAGTAATTACAAATGGTTCGTTTTAAAAAGAGGGCAGACCACACCAGAACACTTTTTATTCTATAGCATAATATTATAAAAGGGAAGGGAGAAACAAGTACATACTGGCGTCTTCTGGGTACCAATTAGGCGCTTCTCTGTTGCACGCAGGAGACCCGAGCTCGATTTCCGAGTTGGGAGAAACATTTTATCGAGTATCTCTGTGTTTCTTCTGGAATGTCGTAGCTCTCACCGCTGAGATGTGTCTTACAGACAGGACCGAAAGCCCACCTCCAAAATAATGTAAATTGTGTTGATGATGGCGTAATAACACTTACATTTACACAAAAAAACGTTTTTCCAAAGTTTGATTTGCTCTCTCTCTCTCTCTCTCTCTCTCTCTCTCTCTCTCTCC